CCCTGGGAGTGTTTGATGGGGGGGGACAGTGTAGAGGAAGCTTTACTCTGTATCTAACCCCGTGCTGTCCCTGTCCCTGGGAGTGTTTGATGGGGGACAGTGTAGAGGGAGCTTCACTATGTATCTAACCCCATGCTGTCCCTGTCCTGGGAGTGTTTGATGGGAGGGGAGACAGTGATTGACATCTTTGGATGCCAGTTATACTGCTAAATGTGTGCCTGGCAGCAGCAAGTTGGGGGAGTTGGTGGGGGGGGTGGCCTTACCTGGCGCGGGGGGGCTGCGGAGGTAGATTTCCTCACTGTATTCCCCGTAGCCCGCCTTGTTGTAGCCACGCACTCGCAGGGCGTAGACGCGGTCCAGCTCCAGGTGCCCCACCGCGGTGCCGGTCCCCCGCACCTCCTCGATCCGGTGCCAGCGCCGCGGGCCCTTGGGCGGGTGCTCGGCCTGGCGGAACTCCACCTCGTAGTGCCAGGCCTCGGCTGAGTCCTCGGGCAGCCGCCAGCAGAGGTAGATCTGGTCGTAGGCGTACGTGCGCTGGGTATCGATGACCGGAGCGTCGGGCACTGCAAGAGAGGAAGGGGTGGGCACCGGCGTCAGTACAACAACAACCAACACCGCCGCAACTCCCTGGCGTCGAACTAGCGCCTCTAGTGTGCTCGAACGTCTCCCACCCACTCCTTCCACATGGCGCAGTTAGCGAACATCATTGGCCTCGTATGTAGGCAGGGTGCCATTGCTGTAGGGTTAACCACCCCTGTAACTCTAACCCTAACCCTAACCCTAACTACAGCTCTAACCCCATCCCTAACTCTAGCCCTTAGCCCCAATCCCATCCCTAAACCTAACACCGCGCTCATCCTATCCCAGTTGCAGGGTTGGCCCCGACAGTAACCCCTAACCCCCAACTCTATCTATATTGCGCACTTGGCGAACGTTGAGGGCCACGTATGTAGGCAGGGTGTCATTGCTGTTGGAGCAATCCGAAACCCCTGACTCTCACCCTGAGTCTAACCCTAATCCACCCACTCCATCCGCATGGTGCGGTTAGCGAACATCATGGGCCTCGTATGTAGGCAGGCTGTAGCTGCAACAGGGTACACCCTACGCACAGCTGTAACCCTAACTGCAGCCCTGGCCCTAAGTTGATGGCAGGTTTAACGCTAGCCCTTTCACAGGGGTAAATCTCACCCTAACCATGCCAGCTGGTTGAGGTCTCTCTACCCACCAACCCCACCTGCCAACCTGGAACAGCATGGCAAGAGACCCTTTGGCATTACATGTGCATGCACGTTATTTAGCCACACGTTGCCCAGCATTCCCTCTGTAACCCTGGGTGGAATGTTGTGAGCAGTTTCGGGCCCCATATCTGAGGAAGGACATGCTGATCTTGGAGGCAGCCCAGAGGAGGTTTACAGAGAAAGATCCCAGGGATAAATGGCTTGTCATATGAGGAGTGGTTGAGCACTCTGTGTCTGTACTCAATGGAGTTTAGAAGGAGGGTGGGGAGGGGCGGGGATGTGATTGAAACTTACAGAACACTGAGAGGCCTGGATACAGCGAACGTGGGGAAGAGGTTCCTACGAGTGGGAGAGACTGGGGCCCGAGGGCACAGCCTCGGGGTGAAGGGACGGCCCTTTCGAACTGAGATGAGGAGGAATTTCTTCGGCCTGAGGGTGGGGAATCTGTGAAACTCATTGTCACAGAGGGCTACGGAGGCCGAATCATGGAGTGTCTTTAAGACAGAGATAGAGGGGAAATTGATTGGTGATGGGGGTCAAGGGTTACTGGGAGAAGGCAGGATAATGGGGTTGAGAAATATATCAGCCATGATTGAATGGCCGAACAGACTCGATGGGTTGAATGGCCTAATTCTACTCCTACATCTTCTGGTTTTACGTCTCAAATGTTCATCAAAATGCACCTTAAATGTTTTGAGGGTTCCTCCATCCAGGAAATGTGAGAGTTTCAGCTACACCTCCATCCCCATCATCCGCTGGTAAATTATTCCCCGCGGGAGTACACCCAACCACCATTTCTCGGGGAATGTGAGCTGGGCCGTACCCTCACCCTCACCCTCAGCACACCTTCTGGTTGTTAAGGTGTCATTATGGCGATGTGGCAGAGCTCAGACACATCCAGCCGCTCCCTCCTAAAGCTGGGCTTCAGCCTCGTGTCCCCGCCCACAGGGCGATGTTGTCATCGATGGGCGGAGCTAACGGAGCACAACATTAACCCCATCAGAGCCATTTCCCCATCCACAGCACCCACCTTTTGCTCTACTATTCACACACACACTTCCTCTCAAGCACACACACGCTCCCTCTCCCACTCTCACGCACACA